ACTGGCGGCAGGAGACGCAGTTCCACGTCCTGCTGCACGTAGTGCTCGTGCAGGGGCAGCGCGCTGAGGCTGGAGGCGCACGAGAAGTTCTCGTCCGGCTTCTCCACCGTGAAGCGCACGCTGCCTGCGTCCAGCTCCGAGGGCAGCCGGCAGCGCTCCCGGCAGTCAGCGATGTCCAGGAAGCGCTTCACGTAGCTCTCCCACTGCAGGCAGAACTGGCTGGCGCCCCCGCCGCGCTCGCCCGCGCCCGGTCCAGCCGCCGGCGGCGTCTTGCTGCGGCTGGGCGGCATGGTCTGCCCGGGGCTGTCGGGCAGCTCGCTGGGGCTGACTGTGCCACTGCCCAGCCCGCTGCAGGGCTCGCTGGGCACGGAGCTGGCGATGGACGGGCTCTCGAAGCTGCCCAGGGAGCTCACCGAGCTGCAGCGGCTCAGCACCAGCGGCGTCTCTTGGACGTAGTTCTCCGAGGAGCTGGACGGCGTGGCGTCCTCCGTGCCTAGGCCGCGGCCGCGGCCCCGCCGGGGCGCCGGGATGGCCATGGGCAGCGAGGCCCCCGGCGCCCGCCAGGCCCCGGCCGGCCCCGCCTCTCCAGGCCCCGCCTCCTCGAGCACCTCCAGAGATGAGTCGCTGTCGTCCAGGTCGCCGCCCTCGCTGGGGCCCGGACGCCCAGCCGAAGACAGCGAGGATAAGGAGCTGCAGCGGGACAGGCAGAGCGCCGCTGTGTCCCCCGCCGCAAGCGTCGGCGGCGTCTCCGGTGCCGGGCCCTCGGCCGGCAGCCAGGCCTGTGCGCGGGTGGTGGGCACGGCGCCCGCCCTGGCCATGCCCTCGAGCAGTGGCACGTGCTGGTAGGTGGGTGATAGTTTGATGGTGCGCACGCGGGCGTCAGCAGACTCTCGGGCCGGAGGCTCTGCCCGGCCACGAGGACGGTCCAGGTCCAGCCGGCCGGGCCGCGCAGGCCCGCATGGGGGTTCCTCGCGGCGCTCGGCCAAAGCGGCCAGCGGGCAGGGCCGCAGGTGCTCGCGGGGGCAGTAGCCATCGCTGGTGCTGCCGCTGTTCAGACTGTCATTGGACAGGCTGGCGTGTGCCGCCTTCAGCCGCAGCAGCGGGTGTGCACGGCCGCCTCCCTCTCGCCGAGCCCCCTCAGGCCCCCGGGCGGGAGAGCAGGACTGGGCGCGGCCTTCGCGCGGTGGCAGCGGGGCATCCTGCCCGGGGTCCCCCGCCGAGCTGAGGCTGAAGCTGTCGTCGGACGAGGTGTGCAGCGCTGAGATGTCCTCCACCAGCCGGTCGATGCGCGCCACAGCCAGCGCCAGCCGGGCCTTGGCCGCCACAGCCGCCTCTCCGCTCCCCGCCTCCTTCTCGGGCTCTGGGTCGCGGCGGGAGGGCGGGGTGCGCGCCAGCGCCTGGCCCTGCAGGAAGGGGCTGCCCAGGAAGAGCGACAGCATGGCCGGGCTGGGGGCCTCAGTGGTGGCGCTGGCTCCGGCGGCCAGGGAGGGCGCGTCGTCGTCATCAAAGCAGCCGGAGTCGGAAGCGTAGTCTTGGGCCAGCCCATCCAGGTGGCGCAGGGGCGCCAGCGGCTTCTTGGCAGCAGGCGCAGGCGCGGGCAGGCCCTCCTTATCCAGGTGGTCGAGTGCTTGAGCCAAGTGCCGGGCGTCCAGCTCGGCCTCCAGTGCCCGTTGCTTGCGCACATACAGGCTGGGCACACAGGTCCCTGGCGACACGGCGGTGGCCGCCGCCTGGTACTTGGCCGGCCGGTGGGCCAGCAGGTTGCGCAGGGCGGCGGCGCTGCCCATGGCGATCATCTTGTGCTTGGAGTGCACCAGGTTGCGTAGCATGCCCACGGCACCCAGGTCCCACAGCAGCTCCTGGTCCCGCGGGCTGCGCGCCGACAGGTTCCACAGCGTGCCGCACGCGTTGCTGACGATGGTCAGGCTGTGCGACGTCAGGTGCTGCAGTAGCGTCTGCAGGCAGTTGTGGTCACGCAGCACCTGCCTGGGGGGCGGGGAGGGCAGGTCACCCACTGCCCCTGCCACCCAGCCACACACCCACCCTGGAGAGGGCGGTCAGAGCGGTAAACACGGGGCTCCTGGTTAAGCTGGAATCCCAGCTACACACACATCATGCTTCAGGGTTAGGTATATTGCAAAGAGTGTACGGATAGACTTCCATGTAATGTAACCCCTATTTTTTAGTAAAGAATAAGTATTATTTGTCAATATTATTTCTAGCATTCATCTGTCAGCATTAATACTATTTCATAAGTATGACTTTATTTTAGTAACTATTACTATAGCCAACAAAATTTAAATATGGGCAACAAAGTTGTCAAAATGAGTACATTTTATTTATGTCATAAATATTTGTTATTAATGTTGTTGTCAGGTGCTATCGAGTCCGTTCCAATCACGGAGACCCCGTGTGCAGCACGAAACCCTGGGTCCGGCGCCAGCCTCACAATCCTTGCTGTCCTTGAAGGTCCTCCCCTTTCTCACTGACTCTTCACCTTACCAAGCATGATGTCCTTCTCTAGGACCTGGTCCCTCCTGATAACGTGACCAACGTGCGAGACACAGTCTCACCATTGTTCCTTCCAAGGAGCATTCTGACTGCACTTCGTCCAGGACAGATGGGTTCGCTCTTCGGGCGGTCCATGGTCCTCTCAGCACCCTTCACCAGCACCACAACTCAAAAGCATCAACTCTTCTTCAGTCTTCCTTATTCATTGTCCAGCTCTCACATGCATACGAGGGGATTGAAAATATCATGGCTTAGGTTAGGCTCACCTTAGTCTTCAAGGAAACATCTTTGCTCTATAGCACTTTAAAGCAGATTTGCCAAATGGAATACGTCGTCTGATGTCTTGACTACTCCTTCCATACACATTGATTGTGGATCCAAGTCAAATGAAATCCCTGACAACTTCAATCTCTTCCCCCTTTATCGTGATGCTGCCTATTGGTCCAATAGTAGAGAGTTTTGTTTTCTTTTTGTTGAGGTGTAATCCATTCTGCAGACTGCAGTCTTTGATCTTCATCAGTAAGCGCTTCAAGTCATGTTCACTTTCAGCAAGCAAGGCTGTGTCATCTGCATGTTAATGAGTCTTCCTCCAATCCTGATGCCATGTTCTTCTTCATAAATTCAGCTTCTCGGATTGTTTGCTCAGCATACAGACTGAATGAGTATGGTAAAAGGATACAACCGTGATGCACACCTCACCTGATTTTAAACCATGCAGTGTCCCCTTGTTCTGTTTGAACGACAGCCTCCAAGTCTATGTACAATTTCCTGATGAGGATAATCAAGTGTTCTGGAATTCCCATTCTTCTCAATGTTATACATAATTTGTTACTACCCACAGTCGAATGTCTTTGCATAGTCAATAAAACACAGGTAAACATCTTTCTGGTATTCTCTGCTTTCAGCCAAGATCCATCTGACATCAGCAATGGTGTCCCTCATTCCACATCCCCATCTGGATCTGATTTTAATTTCTGGCAGTTCCTTGTCTATGTATTACTACAACTGTCTTTTAATTTTTTTAGCAAAATTTTATTTGTGTATGATATTAATGATATTGTTCTATAATTTCCACATTCTGTGGGATCACCTTTCTTTGGAATGAGTACACATATGGATCTCTTCCAGTAGCTGTCTTCCAAGTTTCTTGGCATAACCGAGTGAATGCCTCCAGCAGGGCATCCATTTGTTGAAACATCTCCGTGAGCGTTCTATCAATTCCTAGAGCCTTGTTTTTCACCAGTTCCCTCAGTGCAGCTTTGACTTCTTCCTTCAGTACCATTGGTTCTTGATCACATGCCAACTCCCGAAATGGATGAAGATCTACCAGTTCTTTTTGGTCCAGTGACTCTGTGTGTTCCTTCCATCTTCCCTTGATGCTTCGCACATTGTTCAGTTTTCTTTCCCTCCCCATAGAATCCTTCAGTTTTGCAATTCGAGGCTTTAATTTTTTCTTCTTCTTTGAGCTTGAGAAATGTTGAGCACGTTCCTCCTTTTTGCTTTTCTAACCCAGGGCTTTGCATATTTCATTATAATAAACTTTGTCTTCTCGAGCTGCCCTTTGAAATGTTCTGTTCAGCTCTTTTACGTCATGATTGCTTCCATTTGCTTTAGCTATTCTCTGTTAAAGAGCAAGTTTGAGAGTCTCTTCTGACATCCATTTTGGTCTTTTCTTCCTTCCCTGTCTTTTTAATGACTCTTTGCTTTCTTCATGTATAATGTCCTTGATGTCTCCCCAGAATTCATCTGGTCTTCGGTCACTGGTATTCCGTATGTCAAATTCACTCTTCAGCTGGTCTCTAAGTTCGGGTGGGACAGTCTCACTATAGATACTCCAGGTGGCATTTTGGCCCTTGTGGCCTTGTTTTCAGTTTCTTCAGCGTCAGCTTCAATGGCACAGGAGCACCTGATGGTGCGTCAGCCCCTGGGCCGGCTGTGACGGGTGGTACTGAGCTTCTCCATCACCTCTTCCCACTGGTGGAGTCCATCTGAGTCCTGTGCTTTCCATCTGGTGAGGCCCACGTGTACAGTCATGTTATTGATAAAAGGTCTTTGCACTGAGTACGTCGCTGGTCTTGCAGAATTCTCTCCCATGGGATCTCCAGCGTCATGTCTATCACCAAGGGCATGTTTTCCAACTACCAGTGGTTCTCCTTTGCTTCCAACGTTCTGGTTCCAATCACCAGTAGTTAGCAATCCATCTTGATTGCATCTTTGGTCGATTTTAGACTGCAAAAGTTGGTAAAAAATCTTCAATTTCCTCGTCTTTGGCTTTAGTGGGCAGTGTGTAGATCTGAGTAGGAGTATTAACTGGTATGCCTTGCAGGCGTGTGGATATTATCCTGTCCTGGACAGCAGTGTATTTCAGGACAGATCTTGAAATGTTCTTGTGTGTGTCTGTGTCTGTGTGTGTCTTTATTTTTTTTTTAAATTGTGATTTGGGTGAAAGTTTACAGAGCAAATTCACTTTCCATAGAGCAATTCACACACACTTTGTCTCATGACATTGAAATGTTCTTTCTGACGATGAATGCGACACCATTCCTCTTCAACTTGTCATTCCCAGAATAGCAACCATATGATTGTCTGATTCAAAGTGGCCAACCCCAGTCCACTTCGGCTCACTAATGCCTAGGATAGCGATCTCTGCATCCGATTTCATTTTTACAATGTCCAAGTTTCCTAGACTCATGCCTCATGCATTCTTCATTCCAATCATTTATTAACGGATGCATCCAGCTGTTTCTTCCCATTTCGAGTCGTGCCTCATCAGCCAATGGGGGTCCTGAAAGCTCTACTCCATCCACATCATTAAGGTCGACTCTACTCTGAGGAGGCAGCTCTTCCCGTTATATTTTGAGTGCCTTCTGTCCTGACGGGCTCATCTTCTGGCATTTATCAGTGTTTCCCCGCTATTCCTAAGGTTTTCAGGGGCCACATTTTTCAGAAATGGACACGCATGTCCCTCTTCCTCCTCGTTTCAGCCCATCGACCAGGGGTGACCCGCTGGCACGTGAAGTACCGCGGGCGAGCCTCCGCCTCATGGCAGCACGCAGGGCACCGCAGAACGACAAGCTGCCAGGCGCAGGGTGGCTGTGATAACGTCACTGAAGAAGTGTTACTTTACTTCTAATAAATATTTTAGTTAATAG